GACACATAATAATTCACCTAAACAAAGTAGGCATAAAAGAAAAAATCCTAAAGGCAGCAAGAGAAAAAGGCCAGATCACCTACCATGGAAGACCAATTAGAATAGCAGCAGATTTATCTACAGAAACCCTGCAGGCTAGGAGAGCTTAGAGCCCTATCTTCAAAGTCCTAAAAGAAAAACAATTTCTACCAAGAATAACATACCCAGCCAAGTTAAGCTTCATCAGTGAGGGAGAATTAAAATCTTTCCCAGACATTCAATCCCTAAGAACGTGTGCTGCCACCAGACCACCTCTACATGAAACACTTAAGAAAGTACTAAACACAGAAGAAAAGGAAAAAAGAACAACGTTCTTCAGAAGAGTACAGGAAAAAGAATAAAATACACATGAACCAACCCCAAAAGAAAGACAAAAAACTAGGTGGAAGAACAACAACTCTATAAGAACTCTATGATAGGGACGAACTCTCACATTTCAATAATGAGCCTGAATGTGAATGGACTAAATGCACCATTGAAAAGACATAGAATGGCAAAATGGATAAAATATCACCAGGCAGCAATATACTGCCTTCAAGAGATTCATCTCACCAGAAAGGACAGGCACAGACTCAAAGTAAGAGGATGGAAGACAATTTTCAGGCAAATGGAGCACAAAAGAAAGGAGGAGTCACGATCCTAATTTCAGACAAAAATACCATTGAAGCTATCAAAAATTTTAAAAGATACAGAGGGCCACTACATGACGATAAACGTTCACTCCATCAACAAGAAATATCTATCCTAAACATATATGCACCCAACATAGGAGTACCAACTTTCATAAAGCAGCTTCTAGGAAAACTAAAGAAAGATATTAATTCTAACACTATCATAACTGGGGACTTTAATACCCCAGTCACAACCCTAGACAGATCATCAGGACAAAAAATCAGCAAGGAGATCCGGACCCTCAATGTGACTCTTGACCAAATGGAATTAATCGATACCTACAGCACACTCCATCCAAAGACCACAGAATACACATTCTACTCATCACTGCATGAAACGTATTCCAAGTTCGACCACATATTTGGCCATAAATCAAGCATAAGCAAATTTAAAAGGACCGAAATTTTATCATGCACCTTCTTGGACCACAGTGGAATAAAAATAAACATTAATACCAACAAGGTCTCTCCAAAACCCACAAAGACATGGACACTAAACAGCATGATGCTAAACAACTACTGGATCAATGATGAAATCAAAACAGAGATCAAAAGATGCCTGGAAACAAATGAAAATGAAGAAACATCTTACCAAAATCTCTGGGATGCCATAAAAGCTGTAGTAAGAGGGGAATTTATATCCCTACAAATGCCCATGAAGAAAATGGAAGGATCACAAATTAACAGCCTAACAAGCCACAAAAGGAAGCTGGAAAAGCAAGACCACAAAAACCCTAATTTCAGCAGAAGAATCCAGATCACCAAAATAAAAGCCCAAATCCAGGACATAGAAGACAACAAGATGATACAAAAAAACAATGAAAAAAAAGGGTTCTTTGAAAAGATAAACAAGATCGATGGTCCCCTAGCTAGACTGACCATGAAAAAGAGAGAAAAAACCCAAATAAGCACAATCAGAAACACAAAATTAAAGTCACATCTGACCCTGAAAAAATACAAAAGATCATTAGAGACTACTATGTACACTTGTATGGAAACAAACTTGAAAACCTTAAGGAAATGGAGGACTTTCTGTCATCACACAATCTGCCTAGGTTGAAACAAGAAGAAATTGAGACCCTAAATAGACCAATAACAATCAAGAAAATTGACTACGTAATAAGAAAACTACCTGCAAAAACAAGCCCTGGACCAGATGGCTTTCCAGCAGAATTCTACAAGTATGTAAGGAGGAGCTGATACCAATCCTACTGAAGGTATTCCAGGTGATTGAGAAAGATGGAACTCTCCCCAAATCATTTGACGAAGGTAACATCACATTGATACCCAAGCCAGGTAAAGACCCAACAAAGAAAAAGAACTACAGGCCAATGCTAAAATTCTCAACAAGATCCTAAAAAATCAGATTCAACAACACATCTCAAAAATCATCCATCATGACCAAGTAGGCTTCATCCCTGGAATGCATGACTAGTTCAACATTTGTAAAACCATAAATGTAATGAAATACATCAACAGATGTCAAAACAAAAACCACATGATTATTTCATTAGATGCAGAAAAACTTTTGATAAAATCCAGCACCCCTTCTTGATAAAAACCCTCGAACATCTAGGCATACGGGGAACATACGTCAAAATAGTAAAAGCCATCCATGAGAAACCCACAGCCAGCATACTCCTAAACATACAAAAATTGGAACCATTTCCCCTGAAAACTGGAACAAGACAAGGATGCCCACTCACACCCCTCCTGTTCAATATAGTATTGGAAGTCCTGCCTAGGGGAATCAGAGAAGAGAAGGCAATCAGAGGTATCCAAATAGGAAAACAGGAAGTCAAGTTATCTCACTTTGCAGATGACATGATTGTGTACCTTGAAAACCCAAGAGAATCTGTCAAAAACATCCTTACACTGATAAAGGACTTTGGCAAAGTCTCAGGATATAAAATAAATGTGCAAAAGACAATTGCATTTCTTTACACCAATAATAAACGAACAGAAACCCAAATAAAAACCACAATTCCATTCACAATAGCCACCAACAAAATGAAATACCTTAGCATCTTCCTAACCAGAGATGTGAAAGACCTTAATAATGAAAACTACAAAACACGGCTCAAAGAAATCAAAGATGACACAGACAGGTGGAAAAATATCCCATGCTCATGGTTTGGAAGAATCAATATTGTGAAGATGTCTATTCTACCTAAGGCAATCTACAGATTTAATGCAATACTGATCAACTTACTAGCAACATTCCTCTCAGACCTAGAAAAAACAACACAGAAATTCATATGGAAACATAAATGACCAAGAATAGCCAGAACAATCCTCAGCAAAAAAAAAACAAAGTAGGTGGTATCACATTACCAGACTTCAAACTTTACTATAAAGCTACAATCATCAAAACAACTTGGTATTGGTATAGGAACAGACATATAGACCAATGGAATGGAATTGAGATTCCAGAAGCAAAACCACAATTTCTCAACAAACTCATCTTCGACAAAGCCTCCACCGCCTACCACTGAGGAGAGGAGAACCTATTCAGTAAATGGTGCTGGGAAAACTGGCTGACCACATGCAGATGATTGAAACAGGACCCCTATCTATTCCCTTACACAAAAATTAACTCCAAATGGATCAGAGACCCAAATGTAAAACCTCAAACCATAAAAACCTTAGAAAATGAAGGACACACCCTCATGGAAATTGGAACTGGCATCCAATTCCTGAACAAAACCCGAAACTCACAGGCCATAAGAGATAAGATAGACAATTGGGACCTCATTAAACTAACAAGCTTCTTCAAAGCCAAAGAAGCCATCAAGGGAGCAGGGAGACAGCCTACAGACTGGAAAAAAGTATTTGCCAACTCCAAGTCTGACAAAGGTTTAACATCTTGGAACTACAAGGAACTCAAACATGCTGAAAACAAAAAAACAAACAACCCCATTATAAAATGGGCAAAAGATATGAACAGACACTTCTCAAAGGAAGACATCCGAGCAGCCAACAGACACATGAAAAAAATGTTCAACCTCACTAATCATCAGGGAGATGCAAATCAAAACCACACTGAGATACCACCTAACTCCAGACAGAATGGCAATTATCAATAACTCAAAAAATAACAGTTGCTGGAGAGGGTGTGGTGAAAAGGGAACACTCCTACAGTGTTGGTGGGAGTGCAAACTGGTGCAACCTCTGTGGAAAACAGTGTGGCGATTCCTAAAAGCTCTAAATATCAACCTCCCATATGACCCCGCAATCCCCCTACTGGTGATATACCATGAAGAACTCACATCACTCTACCAAAAAGATACCTGCATACATATGTTTATCGCAGCATTGTTCACGATAGCAAGAACCTGGAATCAACCATACTGTCCATCAAAATAGGACTGGATTTAAAAAATATGGTACATATACATGATGGAATACTACGCAGCCATAAAAAAGAACAAAATCATGAACTTTGCAGCAACCTGTATCGAACTAGAGTCAATAATACTGAGTGATCTCTCACAGAAACAAAGATCTGAGTATCAAATGTTCTCATTGATATAGCAGACCTTGAACATCCACCATAATACTATAAAAAAAAGACTGACAGTGGTGAGAAACTATTGGGGGGGAGGGGAAAGGAGGTGGGATTAATCGTAGTCCATATCTGTCGGGGACGGGGAGACACCCCTTATCAACAAGGGTGACTGAATGAAGCATATTTGTATAACTAACCCTAAACTGTACCCCACAATATCAAAATAAAAAATATTGATATTAAAAAAAAGAAAAGATACCTGCACACGTATGTTTATCGCAGCATTGTTCACAATAGCAAGAACCTGGAAGCAACCATGCTGTCCATCAAAAGAGGACTGAATTTTAAAAAGTTGGTACATATACACGATGGAATACTACACAGCCATAAAAAAGAACAAAATCATGAATTTCACAGCAACCTGGATGGAACTAGAGTCTACAATACTGAGTGACCTCTCACAGAAACACAGATCTGAGTATCACATGTTCTCACTCATATAGTGGACCTTGATCATCCAACGTATTACCATAAGAAAATGACTGACAGTGGTGGGAAACTATGGGGGGAGGGGAAGGGAGATGGGATTAATTGTAGTAAATATCTGCCTTGGGATGGGGAGACACCTCTTATCAACAAGGGTGTCTGAACGAAGCAATATTTGTATACCTAACCCTTAACTGTACCCCACAATACCATAATAAAAAATATTGATTATTAAAAAATAATAATAAAAATAAGAAGTAGATATAAAATCCACATGTGAATCATCAACACACTTGAAAGCTCAAGAGGTGAGAACTCACGGATTACAAGCAGCAGGCTATATTCAAACATTCCAAACATTGCTCAAGAAACCCAATTTTTACACAGTAGCCTGTTTTTAAAATTGCAATATGAGAAAACAAGCATCCAAAATGTATAACCTGAACCCTGTGTATGCTGTGTTCTTTGGCTCCTGATACATGGGAATTGCCAGACGTTGCTTGAAAGCAGAGGTCCCAACTGAAATGTACTGCTTCATATGAATATGTTTGGAAGAAAGGTCTGTGGGAGGCAGCATCCCAGTGGAAGTATCAGTTTCCTTTTTAACACATCCTTTTTGGCTCCTTTTCTCCCAGAAGCTGACCTGGATATAGCCTGTTATCCCAGCAACAAAAGGCTGCAACCAGGTGGCTGGCCATGAATCCTCTGAAAATGAAATATTCTCCAAAACGCTGTTCCTGGTTGATTTGTGGTGAGCATATGACTGTCCTTTGCAATGAATATGGGATTGGCGGATACTTTTGTTGGGTCAATGATGAGGACTTTATATTGCCTTGAGGAGCGGTGATGACTTAAATATCACGTACAATGGCCTGACGCTGAGGCCCAGCCTAGGAGACAGTTGTGGAAACCAACATGGAGAAGATGATGATGGTCAGCAGTATGATCATGTTTGTTGCTGGAGAACTTGAAGAACGAAAGATCATCTTGGGGAGCTCCACCACGTGAATATGCTCCTCCATAAAATTTCCCCATGTTATGCCTATACTTTAATCCTCATCCCAGGTCCTGGGTATTTTAGCAGCCCTTGCTGAGCACCCCATCTCACTTTGTGTCTTTCAGTGGAAACTTCTGATCAGTGTGGCTACATGACATGCACTGTCATATAGCAGTGCATGGTTGCAATCAGCTGTCATGACCAATGATTTTCCAGTCACCAAGTGTCATCAATCAATGAGGGGTTCTTACTCATGAGGCAAGCTGGACCTTCACCAATGTGTGAAGATTTTCTCTCAAGGCCTGTGTAAAGCTGGACAAAAAGAAGACTCGAGATGCTCTTGGTGCGTGCTTCGAGGAGGCCCATGTTTCTTTTCCAAATGGAGGGAGAATAGAGTTTTGTCCTGCTCTACATGAATGAGAATCAGGATTTTTCATAATAGTAAACGTATCTGTGGCTCATGATGTGAATGGCCATATCCTCTGCTGGGCGTCTCTCTGAGTATTTAGGGAGCTTGGAACAGGGGCACAGAGCAAAGAGAATCCACCAGCCTCCTGATGAGACAGTGCACACAAGTCAAAAATGACTGTCCAACTTTTTTGAAACCACCATCCTTCTTGAGAACTCAAGATGTGAGAACACACTCATGTCAAATTGTTGGCAAAATTCATCATAACCAACTTTGCCATGAAAACCCATCTTTGAAACTGAGGAACACTTTCCCACCTGAGATACCAAGGGAGGAATGTCCAAGTTATATCAAAAGTACCCTGACTGGACTTGATTCCGCTCTTGGAGGATCTTCTGTCTCAGCCTACTGGACGAATTCAACACGAATAGGTATCTCATTTCATCATTATGTGGAGGAACTGCTTGTGTGAAACAGCATACATAGGGAGGTACTAGACAGCTTGTTCCACAAGCTGTCCTCCTCCATTTCACAAGGATCCCTTCTTCAGAGAAGGACTTGGGAATAACTCAGTCTCTGGGACAAAGGACGTTACCCAGGTGCCTGGCCTTGTGTCCTCAGAGAGTCAAATAGTCTCCAGTAACCTGGTCGCATTTGATTCTTGTGGTGAGCCTATGGTCCTTTTTCTAAAGGAGGTGGAAAAGGAGGGTGCTTAGCTTGGTCAATGATGAAATCTTGCCTTGTCTCTAGAGAGGTGTTATTTTAAAAGTCATGTGCAATATAGTTATGCTGAGGACCTTCTTATGTGACAGGTGTGCAAACCGATGTGACCCTGATGATGGCCTTGGCATCACTCTACTCCTGGCGCTTTCTAAGCCAGAGAGGCCATCCAGGGGTGCTTAACCCTGAGGAAGCACTCCTTCATGAAATTGGCAAATTCGATTGTAATATCTTGACCAGTTTCACAAAAGCGGGCATTTTAACAACCCCTTCCTTAACTCAAATTCTCTCTTTGTGTCTCTCAATAAAATATTCTGCACACGCTGGCTCCATGGCATGAACCATCCTAGGGGAGAGCATTACAGGGATTGGGAGTCATGACCATCATTCATAAGTTACTGCAGCCCACTGAGGCATGGGAACTCTCATTTTTGAAGCCACACTGAACTCTGACAAATATAGCTACCTTTTCTCTTGAGACACGTATGAGATTAGAGAAGAGAGAACCTTCAGATGCTCTCAGTCTGGTGTTTGATGAGGTCCAAGGGTCTCCTCTAATCTCAGGGGGAAGAGGATTTTGTAGAGCGTGAGAGAAACTGGACAGTCAGGCACATGAATACATACTAAAGCGTTCTTTCGTTCAACTTTTGACAGACGATAACCTTATTTGCGCATCTTCTGAGGTCTCAGGGAGTGTGGAATGGTGACGCAAAGAAACAGAGGGTGCCACAGTCATGTTGAGTGGTGACACAAACTAAGAAGTAGATATGAAATCCACTTGTGAAATCATCAACACACTGGAAAGCTCAAAAGGTGAAAATGCACTGATTACAAGCAGCAAGCTAGATTCAAACATTCCAAATACTGCTCAAGAAACTCAATTATAACACAGTAGACCACACTGCAAATTGATATATGAGAGGACACGCATCCAATATATAGAACTCTGAACCCTGTGTATGCTGTGATCTTTGGCTCCTGATCCATGGGGATCACCAAACATCCCCCGAAAACAGAGGTCCCAACTGAAATGTATAGTCTCATCTGGTTGTGTTTGGAAGAAAGGTCTTTGGGAGGGATCATCCCAATGGAAGTATCAGTTTCCTTTTTGACACACCCTTTTTTGGCTCCTTTTCTCCCAGAAGCTGACCTGGAAATAAGCTGCTATACCAGCAACAAAGGACTGCAACCAGGTGGCTGGCCACGAATCCTCTAAAAGTGAAATATTCTCCAAAATGTTGTTCCTTGTTGACTTGTGGTAGACATATGACTGTCCTTGCAACAGATATGGGATTGGTGGATACTTTTGTTGGGTCAATGATGAGGACTTTATATTGCCTTGAAGAGCGGTGATGACTTAAATATCATGTACAATGGCATGATGCTGAGACCCAGCCTAGGAGAGAGTTGTCAAAAAGAACATGGGTAAGATGATGATGGTCCCAGCAGTACAATGATGTTGGGTGCTGCAGAACTTGAAGTATGGGAGAACATCTTGGGCAACACCACCATGAGGATATGCTCCTCCATAAAATTTTTCCATGTTATGCTTATACTTTAATTCTCTTCCCAGGTCCTGGGCATTTTAGCCTCCAGGCAGAGCACCCCATCTCACTTTTTGTCATTCAATGGAAACATCTGATCAGCGTGCTGCATTGCATGCACCGTCATAGAGGAGTGCAGACTGTGATCAGTCATCAGGACCAATGATTTTCCAGTCACTGAGGGCCATCAATCAATGAGGAGTTCTTACTCATGGAGGCAAGCTGGACCTTCACCAATGCATGCAGTTTTTCTCTCAAGGCCTGGGTGAAACTGTACAAAAAAGAGCCTCAAGATACTCTTTGCGTGCTGTTCGAGGAGGTCCATGTTTATTTTCCAAATGGAAGGAGAACAGAGTTTTGTCTGCTCTACAGAAACGAGAGAATCAGGCTCGTTCAATAATAGTAAACATATCTGTGGCTCACGAGTTAATGGCCATCTCCTTTCCTGGGCATCTTCTGAGTACTTAGGGAGCTTGGAATAGGGGCAAAGAGCAAAGAGAATCTACCGGCCTCCTGGTGAGAGAGGGCACGCAAATCAAAAATGACTATCCAAATTTTTGGAAACCACCATCTTTCTTGAGAACTCAAGATGTAAGAAATGCCCCATAACCAAGATTTGCCACAAAACCCAATCTTTGAGACTTAGGAACACTTTCCCATCTGAGATACCAGAAAGCCACATCCAAGCTATGTCAAAAGTACCCTGTATGGACTTGGCTCTAGTCCTAGAGGACATTCTGTCTCAACCTACTGGATGGATTCCACATGAGCAGGTATCTCATTTCATCATTATGTGGAGGAACCGCTTGTGTGAGACAGCATACTTAGGGAGATACAAGACAGCTTGCTCACACAAGCTGTCCTTTTTTTGACAGGGATCCCTTATTCAGAGAAGGCCTTGGGAATAACTGTCAGTCTCTGGGATGAAGGACACCACCCAGGTGCCTGGCCTCATGTCCTCAGAAAGTCAAATACTCTCCAGTAATCTGGTCATGTTTGGTTACTTATGGTGAGTCTATGGGCCTCTTTCAAAAGGAGGCGGCAAAGGAAGATGCCTAGCTGAGTCAATGATGAAATCTTTGCCTTGTCTCTAGAGAGGTGTTGTGTTAAAAGTCATGCACAACAGATTTACGCTGAGGACCTTCTTACGTGACAGGTGTGCAAACTGACATGAGCCTGATAATGGCCCTCACATCACTCTAGTCGTGGAGCTCTCTAAGCTGGAGAGGCAATCCAGGGGTGCTCAACTCTGAGGAAACACTCCTTCAAAAAATTGGCTAATTCGATTTTAATGTCTTGAACCGTTTCACAGTAACGGGCACTTAAACAACCCCTTCCTTAGCCCAAACTCTCTCTTTGTGTCTCTCAATGAAATATTCTGCCCATGCTGGTTTCATGGCATGAACCATCCTAGGGGAGAGCATTGCTGGGATTGGGAGTCATGACCATCATTCATAAGATCCTGAGCGCTCCCTGAAACATGAGAATTTTCATTTCTCGATCCAAACTGAACTCTGAACCAATATGAGTACCTTTTCTCTTGAGATCTGTATGAGACTGGAGCAAAGAGAGTCTTCAGATGCTCTCAGCTGGATGTTTGATGAGGTCCAAGGGTCTCCTCCAACCTCAGGGAAAAGAGAATTTTAATGAGCGTGAGAGAAGCTGTATAGCCAGGCTCATGAATACATACTAAAGCATTCTTTTGTTCATCTTTTGTGAGATGATGACTTTAGTTGCTCATCTTCTGAGGTGTCAGGGAGTGTGGAATGGTGATGCAAACAAGTAGAGGGTGCTGCAGTCATGTTGAGAGGGGATACAAATAAAGAAGTAGATATAAAATCCACTTGTGAAGTCATCAACACTCTTGAAAGTTCAAGAGGTAAAAACTCATTGATTACAAGCAGCAGACTAGATTCAAGCATTCCAAATATTGCTCAAGAAACCAAATTATTATTAGACCACTTTGCAAATTGACATATGAGAGGACACACATCCAAAATGTGTCACCCTGAACCTTGTGTATGCTGTGCTCTTTGGCTCCTGATCCATGTATTGTGTCATCTGGATTTGTTTGGAAATAAGGTCTGCGGGCAAAAACATCCCAGTGGAAGTATCAGTTTCCTTTTTGACATGTCCTTCTTGGCTCCTTTTCTCCCAGAAGTTGGCCTGGAAATAAGCTGCTATCCCAGCAACAAAGGGCTGCAACCAGGTGGCTGGCCATTAATTCTCTGAAAACAAAATATTCTCCAAAACGCTGTTCCTGGTTGATTTGTAGTGAGCATATGACTGTCCTTGCAATGGATATGGGATTGGCAGATGCTTTTGTTGGGTCAATGATATGAGGACTTTATATTGTCTTGAGGAGTGGTGATGACTTAAATATCGTATACAATGGCATGATGCTGAGGCCCAGTCTAGAAGACAGTTGTGGAAATCAACATGGGGAAGATGATGATGGTCTCGGCAGTATGATCATGCTTGTTGCTGGAGAACTTGAAGTACGAAAGGTCATTTTGGGAAGCTCCAGCATGTGAATATGCTCCTCCATAAATTTTCCCCATGTCATGCTTATACTTTAATCCTTATTCGATGTCCCGGGCATATTAGCATCCTCTGCTTAGCACCCCATCTCACTTTGTGTCTTTCAGTGGAAACTGCTGATCAGTGTGACTACATAGCATGCACCATCATAGAGGAGTGCATGGCTGTGATCGGTGGTCATGACCAATGATTTTCCAGTCACCTAGGGACATCAATCAATGAGGAGTTCTTACTCAAGGAGGCAAGCTTGACCTCCACCAATGCATGCAGTTTTTCCCTCAGGCCTGGGTGAAGCTGGACAAAAAGGAGCCTTAAGATGCTCTTGAGTTTCTTTTCAAGGAGGCCCATCTTTCTTTTCCAAATGGAGGGAGAATAGATTTTTGTCCTGCTCTATAGACATGAGAGAATCAGGTTCATTTAATTATAGTACACGTATCTGTGGCTCATGATGTGAATGACCATGTCCTCTACTGGGCGTCTTCTGGGTGCTTACGGAGCTTGGAATAGGGGCACAGAGCAAAGAGAATTCATTGGCCTTCTGGTGAGAGAGAGCACACAAGTCAAAAATGACTGTCCAACGTTTTTGAAACCACCACCCTTCTTGAGAATTCAAGATGTGAGAACACACTCATGTCAAACTGCTGGCAAAATTCCCAGTAACCAAGCTTTGCCACGAAAACCCATCTTTGAGACTGAGGAACACTTTCCCACCTGAGACACTAAGGGAGGAATGTCCAAGCTATATCAATAATACCCTGTCTTGACTTGGTTCCAGTCCTGGTGGACCTTCCATCTCAGCCTACTGGATGTATTCCACATGAGCAGGTATCTCATTTCATCGTTATGTGGAGGAACTGCTTGTATGAGACAGCATACTTTGGGAGGTACTACACAGCTTGTTCACACAAGCTGTCCTCCTTTTCACAGGCATCCCTTCTTCAGAGAAGGCCTTGGGAATAACTGTCAGTCTCTGGGATTAAGGGTGTCAGCCAGGTGCCTGGCATCATGTCCTCAGAGAGTCAAATAGTTTACAGTAATCTGGTCGTGTTTGGTTACTTGTCATGAGCCTGCGCGCCTCTTTCAAAAGGAGACATGAAGGAGAATGCCTAGCTGGGTCAATGATGAAATCTTTCCCTTGTCTCTAAAGAGGTGCTGTCTTAAAAGTCATGCTCAATAGAGTTTCGCTGAGGATCTTCTATGTGACAATTGTGCAAACTGACTTGAGCCTGAGGATGACCCTGGCATTGCTCTAGTCGTGAAGCTCTCTAACACGGATAGGCCATCCGGGGGTGCTCAAAACTGAAGAAGCACTCCTCCATGAAATTGGCAAATTCGATTGTAATGTCTTGACAACTTTCACAAAAGTGGGGCACTTTAACAACCCCTTCCTTTGCTGAAATTCTCTCCTTGTGTCTCTCGATGAAATATTCTGCCCTCGCTGTCTCCAAGGCATGCAACACCCTAGCGGAGAGCATGGCTGGGATTGGGAATCACAACCAACATTCATAAGTTCCTTTGAGACCCCTGGGACATGGGAACTCTCAGTTCTGGAGCAAAACTGAACTCTGAACCAATATGAGTATCTTTTCTCTTGAGACTCATATGAGACTAGAGCAAAAAAAGCCTGCAGATGCTCTAAGCCTGGTGTATGATGATGTCCGGGTCTCCTCTAAACTCAAGGAGAAGAGGATTTTGTCGAGCATGCGAGAAACAGGAGAGGCAGGCTCATGAATATATACTAAAGTATTCTTTCGCTCAACTTGTGCCAGACGATGGCCTTAGTTGCGCATCTTCTGAGGTGTCAGGGAGTGTGGAATGGTAACACAAACAAGTAGAGGGTGCTGCAGTCATGTTGAAAGGGGACACAAACTAAGAAGTAGATATGAAATCCACTTGTGTAATCAAAACTCTTGAAGTTCAAGAGGTGAAAATTCACTGATTACAAGCAGCAGACTAGATGCAAACATTCCAAATATTGCTCAAGAACTCCATTTATTACACAGTAGACCACTTTGTAAATTGAGATATGAGAGGACACGCAACCGAAATGTATCACCCTGAAACCTTTGTATGCTGAGTTCTTTGGCTCTTGATCCATGGGGATCGCCAGATGTCAACCAAAAACAGGGGTCCCAACTGAAATGTACTGTCTCATCTTGTTGTGCTTGGAAGAAACATCCCAGTGGAAGTATCAGTTTCCTTTTTGACACACCCTTTTTGGCTCTGTTTCTCCCAGAAGTGGGCCTGAAAATAAGCTGTTATCCCAGCAACAAAGGAATGCAACAAGGTGGCTAGCTACCAATCCTCTCAAATGAAATATTCTCCAAAATGCTGTTCCTGGTTGACTTGTGGTGAGCATATGACTGTCCTTGCAATGGATATGGGATTGGCGGATACTTTTGTTGGGTCAATGATGAGAACTTTATATTGCCTTGAGGAGCGTGATGACTTAAATATCACGCACACGCTGGAGCCCAGCAGGTCGAGGTGAGACTCCAACTCAAAAAATTAAATAAATAAATATAACATACAATGGCATGACGCTGAGGCCCAGTGTAGGAGACAATTGTGAAGATCAACATGGGCAAAATGATGATGGTCCTGGCTGTATGATCATTGTTTGGTGCTGGAGAACTTGAAGTACCAGAGGCCATCCTGGGGTGCACCACCATGTGGATATGATCCTCCATAAAATTTGCCCATGTTTTGCTTAATCTTAATCCCCATCCCAGGTCCTGAGCATTTTAGCATCTCTTCCTGAGCATCCCATCTCACTTTGTGTCTTTCAGTGGAAATTTCTGCTCAACGTGGCTGCATCGCATGCCCCATCATAGGGGAGTGCATGGCTGTGATTGGTTGTCATGACCAATGATTTTCCTGTCACTGAGGGTCATCAATCAATGAGGAGTTCTTACTCATGGAAGCAAGCTGGACCTTCACCAACGCATGCAGTTTTTCTCTCAAGGCCTGGGTGAAGCTGGACGAAAAGGAGCCTTGAGATGCCCTCGGCATGCTATTCGAGGAGGCCCATGTTTCTTTTGCAAATGTAGGGCAAATAGAGTTTTGTCCACTCTACAGAAATGAGAGATCAGGCTCATTCAATAATAGTAAATGTATCTGTGGCTCACAATGTGAATGGCCATGTCCTCTGCTGGGAGCCTTCTGAGTACTTAGGGAGATTGGAATGGTGGCACAGAGCAAAGAGAATCCACCAGACTCCTGG